TGGAGCTGCGCAAGGGAAGGGAGACGCGTCTGAACGCCCAGCGCGGGATCCAAAGGGGGGGATTTCCACAAGTCCCGCCCCCGACCGCTTTACCTTTGAGTCAGGGCGCAAGGAACGGCGCAGGTTCTGCGGAGAAAGTGTCCTGCTCCGCTGCAGCCTTTTTGGAAGTGGTGGGGGCGGGGGGAGGCCCGATGCTCGCGGTGAGAAACTCGGGGCCCAATTGATGGCTGGAACTCGCTGCTACCAGCTGCGCGGGGACGGCCACCGGCGCGGACGCGTGCGGCTTGGACCAGCTCGTGGAAAAGGCGTCTCTCGGGGCCATCTGCCCCGGGGCAGAGTGCGCGGCGCCAGTACCCCCGGCAAGCTGCCACAGTCTGCGAGGGGGGCTTTTGGGGAGGATTGGGGGCCTGCCTGGGAAATAGGATGTGGGACCAGTGATCTTCCCGGAAAGACCACCCCAGCTGCCGGTGGCCCTGAGGGGGCCAGGCGGGTAAGGGGGCTGGGGCAGGAGGTGCTGCTTCTGTCTCCTTGCTGCTCAGAAGCCACCTGTGAGAAGTGGATGCAGAGTGGCCAAGAGAGCCCCGAGGAGGACCAGGCCAAGGGCCCACTGAGTCCACCAACCAGTCACACCCAGGAAGCTCATGCACGTGGCAGGGGGGTGGTCCTCCGTCCCCCGCCCCCCACTGCAGCCTTTGACCCAGAGGAGATCAGGCAGCCGTTAAGAGCGAGCTGCAGTCATCGGCAGCCTGTTCCTCCATTAATTGGCCCGCTCCGCTGATAAGCATCTAAGGTGGCACCTGTCCCCACCCACCCGATGGCGGGGAGTCCCCGCGGTGCAACAGCTGAACTGGGAATGTTTGGGGAGTGGGAGGGGGCACAACCTCTCTCAGACACGAAAAGGACAGAAGAGAGCCAGCATTTTCCGCTGGTGATGCACTCAGGAAGCCGCCTGTGCCCTTTCTGTGCTTTTGGGCTAGGCCAAGAGCTGCAGCCAGCGTGGGTGACACTCAGGATGACTCAATGACAGATTGGACTCGGAGCCCAAACCTTGCAGGGAGATCAGACTGTTGGTGCAGCAAAATAGAGTTGGCACTGATTTGTATGGACTAAGGGAACACCCAAGAAAGCCAGGACTGCCGTAAAGCCTGGGGGCTGGGGGGACTTTAATCTGGGCCAACGTTCAGCCTTAACGTACTGTAGGGCAGGAGCTTACCTCCCTGAACAATAAGATAGTCCTGGGCTTTCGCCTGCAGTCTGCTCCATTCACCTCCCTTGACCCATGAGGAACCCTTTCGGCTGGGCTTTAAAGCTGGGGAGGGTTGCTTCACTGGAAGAGGGAGGGGCAGATTTGCAAAACCTGAGGGAGGAAGCGGGGAGGGATTTGCAGCAGAAGCGTTTGAGAACAGCCCAGCCCCTCACCTGGCCACAGCATCACAGAACTCCTCTTCTTTCGAGTTCCTTCTTGGAGATCTGGCCCAGCGCTATGATTTTTTTCTCTCCCTTGCTTGCTCAAAAGGGGGGATGAAATGGACTTTTTTAGTTCCAAATATATATCAGCGGTCACAGGCTGGCTCTATTTTTAGGAACAGAGGAAGAGCATTCCTTATGCGTCAGAAGGGTCAGCCAGCCCTCTATTATTGTTTACTCCCCTGCCACAAGTTGGAGCTTTCCAGGCAGCTGTTACGAGACGCTCCCTGGCAGAGAAACCCTCTGCAGGCAGGGCAGATGCTCTCGCTGAACATCTCTGCAGGCTGTTACGCAGACCTTCTGCTCCTGCGGCCCCGGTCGGCCTACGGTCTGGCTGGAAAATGTGGCAGGGCTCCGGCTGTCCATTGGCTACTGGCCAGTCATTTGATACCTAACCCTGCACTGCTCACGTATTTGGTTGTGGGGGGCCCGAGAGCTGCAGGCAGACCTGATGAGCAGTCCCGGTCCCTCAGAGGGAAGCCCCTCCTAAGCGCAGGGGGGCAGGTGGGAGAGAGCTGCCCCGGGGCAAGCAGCCCAGGAACGCTGCCACCCCCGCAGGGCTGCCCTTGGCGGAGGGGAAGGGCTGCTCCTGGCGAAAGGAGGCAAAAGACAGGCCAGCACAGCTGGAGGAGCAGACTAGGGGACATGAGGTCGGGCAGGCACCAGAAGGGACAGGCTTGTTTTCCTCTCCCTGCCCGCTCTGGAGGGCACTTGCACAATGACCTCACCGGCCAGCCCTTCTACCTAGTGGAAAATGTTAAGTGGCACTTCGTGCGGATCACGTCTGTTCAAATGCATGAACAGCCTTGAATTGGGAGGCTATATAAGGCTGGGCTGTCTGAGGAACGCCCGCTTTCCTGGAAAGACTCCAAAGTAACCATTTGGACTGGGAAAGCATTTGGAGGTGTGTGTGTTGGGGTGGGGGACCTCAAATCAAGCCATCAAATATTGGTGGGAGGCAGGAAGTCTCCCCCCCCAGACCACACAGACTTTACCCAGTGCTCAAAGGTTCTGAGTGTAATGTCTTCTCCTCTGTCAACCAAGGAAGAACAGCCAATAGCTTGAGAATCTTTGGAGAAGGACACAAATGGGGGGAGATGATTGCAATGGCACCTTTACATATATCTTTCCATCACCTCATCCCTAAGGTTAGTGTGAAAACCTTACACACTCATGCAAACGACTGAAATATCCTTCCACTTTGGGGGGGAAAATAAACCCAGCTGAAAGGTTTAACAAGTGAAGGACAACCCGACTCTCAACCAAACTCAAATATTCCCCTGCAGTTTTTCTCAACAGAGATGCATTTTCCATTTCTCTCTGCATACTTTCAGGAGGCCAACGGGGAGCTGCGAACAGGGTGGATGTGGGGAAGGATGGAAGGAGGGACGGAAGGAGGGACAGGAGGGTCATAAAGCCACAAAGCCCTCTGGCCCCCTTGAAGGAACTTGCCAAAGGAGATAGGCCTTGAAGCCAGACTTGGTTGACAAAGAATCCACAAGTCACTGTTGTGAGCCTGACAGAAGCAGGGCAGCAGATAAGATGCTTTGGGAGTCCTGCATCACCCTAATAAATGTCATCAGAGCACTGATACAGCTACCTGACTGGTGAAGGAGAAATTAACAACAGGAGATTGGGGGTTGGGGGAAGATGGTACCAAACTTGTATCACTGGTGGTTAAGGAACCTGTTTAGAAAAAGGAGGTGCTTTGCAGGGCCCTGCTGGGTGCTCAAGTTATCTCAGCTGGTTTGAATGCTGGAAGTCGTCATCCTTCTTCAGACTGGGATCCTGGGTCACTCGAAGTAAAAGCAACCTCACGGCTTTTCCAAAGCTGACTCGAGTTAGAGTCCAACTTCTCGGCCCACGTGTTCTCTTCAACCCACCCATCCGCCCCCGTCAGGTGTTACCAAACCCAATGGCACTCAGTGGTTTCCAAGATTTTCTTCTGTCCCAGTGAGGCCTAGCAGCTTGATTTGTCAGGATGGTGACGCCAAAGCCCCATTTTAAAATGTGCTCCATGCAGGCTGCTAAGGAAATGGAAATGCACACAGGGTCAGTGGGCTTCTTCCGCAGCTAAGTAACCATTACACATTTCCACACCAGCATAACTTTATGGTGGTGAAGCGGTCACAACTCAAAAAGAAGCAGAAATGAACAACTCCATTTTCTTTACAGGCAAAGAATGAAGACTTTTTAACCTGGGTGCCACCATGCCAGTGCTTTGTCTCTCGGCCCGATTGGTTCCAACACAGACTGCTGTTTTTACCATTTTGCCAGCTGCTCTGCGATAAGCCAATAGCAAAAATCCAGACTTTCAAGAAGATAAAAGATACCTGTCCCTCGACTGGCACATCTCTCCATTTCTTCATGTGTTCTTGGGTGGCCAGTCTTAACTACCAAGACCCGCTCTCGCCTGACTTGCAAGCACGCTGAGCTGCTTTGTGGCTTGGCCGTCTGCCTCTGGAACTTTCCTTGGGGAAAGCCCAATAAGGAAAGACGAGCCAGTTTCAATTGGGGGCGTGGCTTGTATGGCAAGCCATGGTTTGTATAGTCACACCTCACTGAATAAGCCACAGTATCGGTTTGCCCAACACACAGAAATCCCCGTGGCTGTATTCACAAGCCGAACGAACACTAAAGGAAGCCGGCTGGCGGCTCTGAAGAACTCTTCACCCTGAAGACACATGTGCACACCGCAGTTGTAGCTTATTCACAGCTTTTATTTCTTTCCAGTCTACTTCAGGCCCACCGACTCACAATCAGAACACCTGGATAATAAAGCCTTAGCAGTTCCACTTAATAACAACTTGCAATAATCCCCTAAAAGGTTCCTTGTCCCCAAAAAGTAATTTCATTGTTTTACTTTTCTTGCAGAGAACGAAAATCCTCAAACCCTTAAAAAAAGACCACCGACCCATTGCTCAGAAATTAACAAAAGCCTCTTTCACTCCAGGTTTGAGACTCTCCTCCCAAAAGCCCGAAGATCTGGAACCCAGGCCACTTTTCTTTAAAAAATATACTTTGAAAAATAATGTTCCATAAAAATACTATTGTTTCTAGTCAAACACAGATATTGCAATATCAAGGGTTAACTGCTTTGTATTCTCTCTATAAAATGTGAAGAGTATTTGTTACACTGAGAGATGTAGAAAAAAACCACAAAGAACTTCTAGAGTATCACAAAAGCAGATACAAAATGAGCAAGGTCAGTTGTGGGGAGAGAAGAGAGAGATTTGGCTAAACAACTATGGTCAGGAATGGCCTTCTGTTCTCGCTTGGGCATCACAAACCTCTTTGAAATGCTGCTTTCCATGCAAGACTTTATCCCAAAATTCCTTGCCACAATGACTGAGTAGCAGGCAATTTGCACCCAAGTGCATAATAAATATTCGTACAAGATTTAAGTGTCCCATGCTGAATTTTTTCCCCAAATTAAAAAAATCCAGTGAATTAACAAAAAGACACAGGCAATAAAAAAATGTAAACTACAGTTTCCCCACAAAATGTTTTGTTGCTATATAAACCGCTAACGGAATGAGGGCCGATGGTGCTAAAACTGTATTAAAAGCGTCTTAATAAAGTATACCATCTGTACTTAGTTGCGCGGGGAACGTCCAACCAGTAGTACAGAGCAGGTCCAACTGAACCAGGGAAGGGAGAGTGCCCCTTTTTGCTGTCCCCGCCCCGAGGAAGAGGTTCCCTGACCGAATGAGGCAAGACAAAAGCTGAGGAAACGGCAAGAGCCACCCTCCAGGTGCCAATGGGCAGGACGAGCGGGGCATCACTCCAACAGGAGAGAAAGTCAGGCGAGTTCTGCAACAGTTCCTGTCTGCTGCTCAGCAGTGTTGGCGGCCCTCAGTTCTCTGAGAGGGAGAGCGCCAGGGCTGCCTGCAAGGCTGCTTCCTCATCGATGTTATAGTCCTGGAAAGAAGAGAGGACAATGTTGTCGCAAAAAGCAGAAGAGTCCCCGCCTTTCATGCACGGCCTGCTGGAGTTCAGAATGACCCTAGATTATCTAGAGCCCCTGGCTCTCTGCAAAATCCACTAGCACATCTCCGATAAGGTGACCTTGGCAAAGCCTTTGTTTCGCAATCTCCAGTGAAGGAGACCTCATCACTTCATGAGGCAGCCTATTCCTCTGGCTGACAGCTCATACTTTCTCATTTCAGGAAGTTCTTCCAAGCTGCCTAGCCTGAATCTCCTTCTTTGTAGTTTTAACCCACTGGGTCTGGTCCTGCCCTCTGGAGGCAATAGATAATAGGTCCACTCTTTCTTCTGTGTGACAACCCTTCAGAAATGGGAAGGCCGCTGTCATAAGTCCCCTTGGTTCTCCTTATTACAGGCTAAACGTGCCCCAATCCTTGCTCAGAGGGCTGGGTTTCCAGACCTTTCACCATCTTGGTGGTCTTCCTCTGAAGTCACCCTAATCTGTCATTGTCCTTTTGGAAATGGGGTGCCAGAACTGGACACAGTATTTCAAATGGGATCTGACCAGGACAGAGTAGAGGGGAACAATGATTTTTGGATCTGGACTTTGTGCCCCAGTTATGACACCCAGAAAGGTTGGGGGCACATAAAACACCTCTGCATGCCAACAAATTCATGCAAAGCTCACAATCTTACGTGAGGCCGTCTAGAGCGAAGGCAGTTTGCGAGAGCAGAGCATAAAGAGCACCAAGGGGAAACCACTCCCAAGTTGCTACCACTCCTCCCTCAACGGCAGTTTGATCTGCTCCTGTTACTAAAGTTGATTCTTGCGCTGCCTTTGGGCCTGGAAGCAGCAGGCACAATCTGTTAAAATAACATGCTGCAGAACACGGTACCCACCACAAACGTGTCATAGGAAAACTTGTGCCTGTGCAGGAGATGCTGTAGAAAGTTGGCACTCTTGTAACTGGGGTCCCCCCAAGGCATGGCTGAGCACACTGGACAGACCTGGAGCACCCAGGAAGGGGGAGAAAAAAAGTACTGTCAGCAAAGAAGAAGGAAAACCACTAATTTTCAGGAACAGAGTGACATTTAAAAGCAATGGTGTGACTGATGAGAAAAAAGAGAACACCAGAATGATTTCCTGTTGCACAGCACGCAGAATCCGGCTTAGAAAAGGCATCCTTTGCTACCCATAAAGCACCCTAAACTCACATGTATTAATATTCTATGCTCCATAAAATTTCAGGGACAAGTGATGATACTAAAACAACCAACAACACCATCAGCCAATAAACCATGAGAAGCACACACCAATTGTCAGGATTGGCTCCAGCCATGGGGATTACAGAGGGTTGAAACAATCGCAAGGACCTAGGAAACTGAGCAATTCAATAAAGCTGATACAAGGTGAGGCATGCTTTTAGATGCCCAGAACACCTCCATGTTTTCATACAAGAGGTATACACATATTGTTTGTTCCCGGTACCTTCCCGGTACACAGGAAACAAAAGGTACAGTGGGGCAAAAAAGTATTTAGTCAGCCACCAATTATGCAAGTTCTCCCACTTAAAAAGATAAGAGAGGCCTGTAAT